AACCTGTATCGTACATAAAACTAGTTTGAATCTGTCTATCTCACTTTAATTTCCGCTTGCTGTTGAGGTACCTGGGACGGCAGCAGGAAGCAGCCTTAGCACCTGGACCTATAAGACACTTTAGGGAATGTTGCCCAGAATTCCCGGATTGGTGCTTGGACTGCCCAAGTCCCAGTCATTGCCAACATTTGAGGAGAGAAGCAGCAGATGGAATAATTCTCTTCCTTTCTGTCTCTCCCTCTTCATCTGACTCTGTCGCTCAAAAACAGAAATGCATCTTTTAAGAAAAAATAACTAAATCTAACGTGAAGTTTCATTTGGATGAATTATTTCAATTCTTACACTTTGGATTTTAAGATAAGTAAAAACAAGGAAAAATGCGTCGCTTTCATCTGCCTCCTACTGAGCACTAGAACATTTCCACAAGCTTCTGCTTGGGTAGGTTTATTGATGATGAGTCTATTATATTGTTTAAGAGCTTTTATAATGGAAGAAAATCTGCCTTCATACAGCCTTCATTACTTGATATTGTTTATCTGCTACATAAATATGCAATGGTTGAATCATGATTTTGTGTAGCATTATTAAAAATAAGGTAACCATCTAATTCCTTAATAAAACCATTCTAAAAATTTCATTTTTTTCCTAATGATGTTGTTCTGAGATAAGCAGTAAATCGGAGATTTCTCTGATCTCTGGCACACACTGCTAAAAGTGCGTAACAGGTACAGATTTTGCTGCGTACCTCTTTTATCAATGAGCCCCTATTTTATCATCTTTATTTCTCTGTCCTGCCCTTCCTTCTCTGTTGTCTCCATTGCTCCTTTGCTGCTCCTATTCTTTCATTTTCCCTTCATACTCAGTCATGCTACTTGTATTGTTCTGTATTGCATCTATAATCTGAGTGAACTGGTAGTGAAACTTCAGGGCTTTTTAGCATAAAAACATGTGGATTTGAATGTTGAACTCTTACAAACAGCATGACCTAGAGTAAGTTCAAGGGGACATTTTTGTGCCTCGATTTTTCCATCTGTGAAATGGAGAAAGTCCAGGTATTTAGACCTTATTTATAATGAAGGCTCAGTTGGCAATTTGTCTAAATACAGTCACCTGGGCTCAATATTTTTTATCAGAATTTTGTTGATACTTGCCTCCCTAGTTTTATGGTGTAACTAGAAAGAAACGTAGTGCCTCTGTAGTTCTTTCTCTTCATTTCTGTTCATTCCATCAAATCTTTTGCCTTCAAAAACGTAGATAACTTTTACATTAGACATTCCAAAGGTATATTTATTTATTTTAATTAAAGATGTATCACTTTGAACAACATGATAAATCTGATTTTAAGCAGCAGGTATAACCTCATATGGCTAATGCTTGCATCTATTGTATTCACCATAGTAAACCCAATGTATTGTACAAGGTGTGGTACAGAATAGAAGCTCATTAAGTATTTATTAAATATATCAATAATCTCTCTCAAATGCAAAATAAACTTGGTAATACACAGAGGTCTTGCCATATGTAAAATCACTTGGAAAGCATAAGTAATACTAGGCTCACTGTGACTCCATAAAATACTTGTTATTTTGACATTCTTTTCAGATAAAAAAAATAATAACTACTGCATTCTTTGCACAAGACCAAAGAACTGATTTTGAAAACAGTTGGAAATGCTAATGACATCTCTACTTTCCAAAAATGAGGTGCTTATTCCCTGCCCCCCACCCTACCCAAAAAATCGTGCCTAAAGTCACTCTACTTGGAAATGGTGGAACTGAAAGTGTAATTGGACATGATGGGACATTCCAGAATTCTCATTTGATTTCCTCGCATAGGTGAATTACGTCTCTACAGCCTGTTCATTCCATTTATGCTCCCATACCCTTTTCTCTCATGCTATTTATTATATGTTGATACTCATTTTCTCAGTAACTGAGAGCCATTTTACAGTTTCTTACCCTTTCCCATTTTCCTTATCATATTATTGGACGTGTTGTAAATACTTGTGTGTAAGTATAAAATATTAAATAGATTCAATGTTTAAATGAGATGACAAACATTTCCTTTTGTAGTTAAGACAAATATGTGCTACAGAGCACAGACGGAATGAAATTGAAACTTGGTATTTCTTGTTTGCATTACCTAGGAGACTCTATACAAGGGGGATTTAGCAAATATGATAGTTGCATGTTAGCTTCAAAATAATTTTGCCCCTCTTTTTGAATATCTAATTACATCGCACCAATTCTGCGTTATTTTTTTCTCATGGTTTCAAGATGATCATCAGCACTTTATATAAAAATTAAGCCAAAATACCTGAATATGTAAATAAACATCATTCATTCACTTCTCTATAAAATCCAGTACTGAAATATCTTGAAAATAATATATTTTGAAAAGCAATGTCATTGAATATTTCTCCACAGGCATCTCAATGCTATCTTATATAATCATCGTTGTTTAAAAAATTAGAGTAAGTTATTTTATGTGAGATTTCTCAAAAAAAGTTTCTCAGAGCTTGTAATAAGTTAGTTATTTTTAAAACAACTAAAATATCAAGGCATCTTTGCAACTCTTTTTGAAAAAGCTAATTATAATTAGATGTTTTCAACATTAAAGTTAGGCAAATCAACTTGAAGATATTTTAACCAACTTGAGGAGATGTTAGTCTCTTGGAGGATGAAACACGGAAACCATGGTTACAGCTTTCAGCTACAACAGGACAAACTTTTTTTTTTAGTTCAACAATAAAAAAAAAATCAATGCACTGTTTCTCTTGATGGGAACTAACAAGGAAACAAGACATTCCCTCTGATTCAATATAAGAAACATCAGCTTTCAATTTGGTAAGTCCCAAGACATGACTTTGAAGCTTCATTCTGAAAGTCAGTAGTATGGTTCTGTATGTGGTTTTGTATGTGGTTCTGCTTGTAAGAATTTCACAACCAGACCAACCATTATCAGTTTTACATGGCCATCTCCAAAGGAGAAATGGACAGAAAACTATGATTATATAGCCAGAAGTATTGACATAAATTATCTCAAATAAATATTAAAAAGATGATTTCATAACTGTAGCTGTTTTAAAAAAATGAAGACATGATCTCTATTAGTGAGGCCCAAAACCCATTAAAAGAGCAATATACAGATGTGTTTTTCAATATATACTGTTTCAATGCAGAATAATCAATATTAGCTACATTTCTATAATAAAAAAATGTATTACTTATCATCTTTAACTGTATAGCATCTCATTCATGATTACAACATGGCAAAAAGAAATACACAGCATTCACAAATAAAATTCTCTTTATGAAAACCACTAAGACAGACCAGGAAAGAAACCATTTGAATTATTTTACGTTTCAGTACAAACCACAGATATATTTGTTGTGAATCTGTAACATGTCATAAATGATTTACTATAACTTTTTATTTCTTAAGTGGAGAAACTGGGTTCAGAGAGGTTAAGGATTCTGACACGTGAACTCGTGTGTCCAGACAGTTCAACCTCAGCTCCAGGTACTGCACCACACAGTTGTTCTATTTCAGTAGCAAGATGAGAGTTTTGGAGCCAGGGACAATGGTCATCATCTAAATATTCTTAAAGACAAAACACCTTTTAAGTGAAATAAATGTGTCTTTGCATAAACCTAGACATTATGCTCTTCCTTGTTCGTTGAAAGGAAAACTTGTAATGAAAAGATAAAATAGCATACAGGTTGTTATTTCAGAAAACCATTTGATAAAGCAGTTTCTGCTTTCGTACTATCATCAAGGTATGTATGCACTGTATGTATCTTCTGCAAGGTTTTATAATATATTCAAAGCCTAAGTCATTAACATGAGGCATACAACTATGTATGCAGGCATATATGTATAACTGTATATGGAATAACCCAATCAGAAGAATGTTGGTATTATATACAGAGCATTTGAAGTAAAAACGATAATAACAAACTCTAAATGTAAAACTTAAAAAGCAAAACACAACATCAAAAATTTTCAAACGTTGCCTTTTATTTAATATACTTCAATCTCTGTTTTATGAAAGAATATGTACTTGTTCCATCTGCTGGCTGTGGCAAAAAAATCCAATGTAGTTACCAACTCAAATTATAATAATTTATTTTAGGATTGATGCAAACTGTGAGAAAGTCATAGTTTCATCTTCACAGTGGTTGTGTTTCACTGGAGTTCTAAGCAGGATTACATAATATACAATTCAACATGCATTAATTTCTCTCACCCACTACTACACACAATCCAAGTATAACGTCTGATCAATTAATTTGGTGTAAGAATGACTCCAAAGTTTCATTGAGAAGTGTTAGATCCTAGTTTTGCTCCTGTTTAATTGGAGGCATGGGATAACGGTTTACTCTTATTTTCCATGTGTATGAGCTTAAGTCCCGTGAGCACACACACACACACACACACACACACACACACACTCATATCACCATAACATTTCCTGATTACTTGTGAATAGACAATTCAAATTTAAAGAAATAATTGAAACCTGTTTCTCTGGTAGATTGCTTAAACCAGATCTTTCTTGGTGTCAAGCATTGATCAGTTCCCTCAAGTCACAACACAAACAAGAAGAGAAAAGGACACTTTAGAATACAGAAAAGAATCATTTGTATCATTGTGTGTGAGAGAGAGAGACATCAAGTTTCTGAATTCAGAACCATCCAGAAAGTTCATCAATGACATTCCTTTACTAAATGTAGTAGCAAAGTCATTTGCACTCTCTTCATCCCTTCTGGTAACCGAGTCTTTAAGAGTAAAGTTAAAAAACAACCAAAGTAACCTGGATGCTTCCAAAATATGCCAATTTCCTTCTGAGTAAAATATCTGATCAGAAAATAAAATGCTGGTAAATATCACACATGTTGCTGGGAAATGTAAATTACTGAACTTGGAATGAGATTTTCAAAAGAGAAATAAAGGGAGGAGGGAAGCAGGAAGAGTTTTCCGTCCCTGAATTTACTCACCAATTTCCCAGATGAAGGGTCAGTAGCAAGAACATCAACCTCACCCCTCTACTTTGATTCCGCAGAAGAAAAGGGGTGAGGAGGAAAGCTTTCCAGAACCCCATCTAGATAGCTTTCAAGGAGCCGCACTCGCTCAAGCTTGCATGCCAGGTCTTTCGGCTCCCACTTCCTAGCAGCCCGCGGGATCCAAGCAGGGAGAGTAGGGAGCAGTGGTACACCTCCTAGCCAGGTAGGATGCGACTCCCGCAGGAACTGAGAGGGACAGCCAATCAGAGGGAGAGGATGCTGGTATATATTATCTTAAAAAGATCTGCACCAATCGGTGACTTTCGGGGGCGGAGCTTCCCCTACTAGAAATTGAGCCCAGTAGGCAAAAGGGCTCCGGGTTTCTAAAAGAAAAACAAACCTCTTCTCCCTGGCCGCCTGGGGGAAACGTTTGAGTAGCCTTGACAGAGGCCCTCCACGAGGGAAAAGGTGGCATTGCTACTACCCTGCAGTCCCCAAGGTCTGGTTTGGGGCCACGGTCTCTTCCCATTCCCGCGTTTAGACCCAGGGGAAGTAAAAAGCGCCCACTCAGTGTTGCCTCATCTTTGTTGGTCTGGGGGTGGGGCGGCTTCTCATTTCCCTGCAGCCCCAGCAGCTGGCACCCTGCCCCGCACTGAGGAGCTCTCGGAAATGCGAGGTGTGGAACTGAATGAATGAATGAGCCTCTTGCTCCGTGCCTGCCTGGTGATCACGTTTCCTTCTCTCGCAGGTTTAATCAGGAGACAATTTGCAGTCTGCTTCTCGCGCCAGGCACCAAAAGATTAACATTGACTAAGGAACAGTGTGCAAGAACTGTCACACTGTACAAATACAGGAAAGAACAACAGGGACGGATTTTGAAAAGGTTCTCTTAGCGGCAGGATTTTTAAACCCTGAACAGGCGTGAACCTGCTTTGGCTCTCCCTCCCCAGTCGCCTTTGAGCACCAGTGCAGCCTACCTAACTTCAGAGGTTCTGCTCCGAGTTGGCAGCGGAGCCAGAGAGTCGCTATGGCAACCAGAAAGCCTCTGGCAGCTGGAACAACTGTACAGACAAGGACCGTGGTGGAGAAGCAGGCTCGCTCTGCCCAGCCATCTTCTGCCTTCCGCCTTCCCAAATCCCTGTTTCCCACGGAAGCCGCCTGCAGTGGGGGTCTTTGGCTGTCTCATTAATCAAGCCCCACAACCACCTGGAATGGGCCAGATGCAGGGATGATCTGCAATTTACCACCTCATTACTTGCGAGTGTTTGTCTGTCAGCACACAGGGCAAACCAGAAGTAACGGGCAGCCAGGGAACTGTTGCCACGCTACCCTTCCAAATCACTATTTGGAACTGGATATAGGTAACAAGGTCGCAGCTCACTTTTTTCACCCTTTCTTTTTCTTGCCTGGAATAACAGTGCAGTGCTGGGCGTTTCTCCCTTCTGACTGATTCTCCATCCTTCCAGCCTCCTTCAATGACACCTATAGATTCTGCTTGCTTTTCTTAGCCAGCACGTATTAATTGGGCAGCGTTTTGATCTTCCAAAAGCCATATTCATCAAAGTAGCCTGTACAGAACAATTAATATAATGATAAGGTCACAATGTAATAGACTTTTTACCTAGTACATTCAGATAAAAATAATACCAATATAAATCAGAGCTGCTGGTTTTTTCTTATTTTTAATGTTTCAGTTAACATTATGCTTTGGATAGTTATTCTACAGTTTCATTAGATGCACCTATTAGTTCAGTGGACTGATTAACCAACAAGAGAGGGAATTCGCTAGAAGTAGATTGTGAATAGCAGACACTTGTCCAGCTACTACTTTGCATTTGGCTAAGATTAGGTAAGATTTAATGGGAACAGGATATACCCAAATCATAAAACCATGGTTAATAATTCTCCCACCAATAATTCTTAACATGCTTTTACTCCTTTTTATCCTGTAACTAAAAGGCATAGAGCTCAATTAAATTGGAGGAAAAAATGAAGGATATACTCTTGGATAGTAACATGCTTACTGTTTATTTTAATGAGAGATGAATAAGTTTAGTAAGGGAACACCCATGTCTTTCTCATAATGTGTTGTTTCTAATTTTATAAGAACGTATTTCCAGTATGTTTTATTCCTTTCTTCAAGTACTTTGAGCTGATGCTTCACTTCTGATACCACCTTTGATTCATTGCTTTCTTTGCTCCGTTTTTGTATAATATGTATCTTCTGGGAAACAGCCTATTCTGTTGTCACAATTTATTATAATTTCCTAAACACTGCATAAAAAAACACTGAGTCCTCTAGAACCTAAAAGAAAAGAAAAAGATGAAGATTCTGAATATCAGCCACATCTGGACCCTTTGTTTTTGACTTAATCAAACAGCTCAGTCACATATTTTGGACATAGCAATTGGGAAGGCATGTCCTAAACAAACAAGGTACATTTTGGCTTCCGGAGACTGCTTGTCTCTCAGGACACACTTGGGGCTATCAGCTGTATTACAGACCTTTAAGTTTAGAGGTAAAGTTGCTATAAGGACTGGGACAGAGAGAACTTTCTGCCTGTGTTACATCAGTAGTTTACAGAGACTGTTACCCTTTGTAACCGTGTTCAGTGAATGAAGATACTTTCAGTTGGGGAAGGGTGGAGTGATCTACTAAGACTTAGCAGACAGAGGCTAGGGTTGCTACTCTATATCCTAAAATGCACAGTGTTAAACCTCTCCTGCCACCCAATACTACACAACTAATGATGTCCAATGAATGGTAGCCGGCACAACCTAGTTACCTTCTGAAAAGTTCAATAAGGAATTAGGATGGGATGATTGTACTTCAGAGCCAAAGGGCAGTTGTTCTCACATTGTACCTCTTTGTATTTACTCTTCTGATCATCATAAACTCCATCTGCTTCAATCAAGACTTCAATTTCAGGTTCCTAGACATTGCATACAACAGTACACGTTTTGTCTTTTCTCATGATATTCTTTTAGCCTACAGACTCATCATTATCTGATAAATCCCTCATCATAGTGGCAAATTCCAAATTTTGATTCTTGACTTATTTTTTATACTAAACCACAGGAATTAATTATTTTCTTGATATTCAAGATCGCAAGATCAAAATAAACAAATGTAGCCACTCAATATGTGCAATCAATTTAGTATTTAAATGAAGCAAAAGTTAGAGTTAAAACCAATGCAAGATACTACAGATACATACCCTTTCTATGCCAGTTGATCCCCACATGCAGCCAAGAGAAGGAATCCAAAAGCTGGCTTTTAGTGTGGAACTATTGCTTCTAATAAGACAATTTTGCTTTTTTTTTTTTTTTTGGCTTATTTTTTTATTTATTTATTTTTTTTTTGAGTCTCAACTTCTTTCATTGGTTATTTCTATTTCCTAGAGTCCGGCGTGGCAGTATGTTGTAGTGTGTCAGGCTGAGCTGCTGTTTGTAACACTGGCATTTAATGTCAGAGTGCTGATTTAGACGTATTCTCTTACATTTATGACTCAGCTCCCTGATAAAAGACGTAGGCGAGAAGGAGAAAATAGCACAATAATCTGGGCCCTGCTAAGATCCAGAAGGAGTTCCGGGTTCTGTTCTTCAGCCCAGCCCATCCCTGGCTGTTCCGGTTATCTGGGGAGTGAACAAGTGTGAGGAAAATCTCTGTGTCTCCCTAATGTTGAGTTAATCTACTTTTAGAGTGAATGACTGGATTTAAATAATAGATGGCCATCCTTGTCTGACTGATTCTTCATTCACTAAATGTGGTTGTGACTTTCATGTTTATGACTCTACAGTCTTACTTAGGCTCTGAGAAATTTCCAGAATGCAGTTTCTATGATCTCTCACCCACCTTTGAACCACTTGGCCATTTCATGTTTCTTTCTTTTTTTTCTTTTTTTCAGAATATTTCTGGTCAGTTTGATATCATGCTTTCCTGTGTTTCCTCTAATTTGTTTTAAGTTTTACATGTTTATTCTACCTAAATTCAGTAGTTTGGAGTTCCTCAATTATATGTTTGATCTCTTTTCATTTAACAAGCTTATTTATAATCAACTGTGTACAAGACATTGTAAAACTTTAAAATTACTTCCTGCACTTGAATTGCAAACCAGGAAATTTCTGTTGGGTTTGACTGTCAAGCCTGAGGCACTATATATTGTGCTTACATAAAATACATATCTGCTAGCCCATCACCAATTCTATTTAATATTCCAAAATCTTACTTTCAGTCTATCCTGCATAAATATGACAGAAAGATAAGGGTCAAAACCAAGATCTTCTACTTATAAATTTTTTTAAGCATGGAAAGCTTCTTTGTCTTTTTTTTTCTTTTTGTTATTTCAAGAAAAAGTGTTAAGAGGGAAAGAGACAAAGATGGACAGAGGTCTCTCATTTGCTAGCTCACTTTTCCAAAACCTGCAGCAATCAAGTATAGGTCAAGTGTAAGCTGGCAGTGAGGCACTCAGTTCAGGCTTTTACATGGCTGGCAGGGATCTAATTACTTAAGCCATTATTTACTGCATTTAAGAATGTGTATTAGCAACAAGCAAGATTATAAGCTGAGGCCGAATTCAAAATCAGGCACTGGGATATGGGATATAGGTTTCCAACGCCGTCTTTACTATTGCAGCAAATACCAATCCAGAGAGCTTTTTGCATTTCCACTACCTTAGCTTCCACACGATTGCTCTGGCAATTATTCTAGTTAGTTACATTAGGAACTTAGAATTATACTTGGTGTAGAGTGAGTACTCAAGATCACCTAAACAATTTTTGTTATTGTCAGTATCATTATCTATTTCTACTGACAGCTTATCCAAGTGATCCTCACATTTACTCAAATGACTGCAATAATCATTTCCAGGCTACCCTGGCATTTATTTATTCTTCATATATTTTTCAGAATGACCTTTGACTTTTTTCTGCTCACTATTCAATTATATATTATTGTACTTAGAACAAAATATAACATTATTACAGAAGCTTTTGAGACCGTGCAGTTTCTAGTCTCTGTCTTCCTTCCCTGCTTTATCGTTACAACTCTTTCTTTATTCATGTTCCAGGAAGAATACCCTAAATTCATCTTCTCCATGGCCCTGCCTCTTTTTTTTTTAATATTTTTTTCTAATATTTCTCCACTCTTGCATCACTCCACCTTGCCTTATATCATTTATTTGGCTGTTTTCTCTCTGTGTGTGTTTCTTTTATTTCTGGAAAATACTGGAAGGAACACTTATTTTTCAACTCAGATTAACTGA